GAAAGTTTTGAGCCTAGTTTTGTAACACGCCAACAGATGACAGCACAAGGATGCACACACAGTCACAGGGACCACCAACCTTCATAAGTCAGTGTGCCAAAAGACATCGTCCTGTGTCCATCGGGAGCTGTGCAACTGGTTCTGACCACGTGTTACCACATATACTATTTCATCATGGAAGGTAATTCTGCGTGAAACCGATCACATCTGCCGCTGAGATGTTTGACTGGTTCGGCAAGTTTATGGCGATGCTCCAATGAGCCGTTTGAGGTGTTCTGAGTGGCGTGCGCGCTTCAGGAGTGGAAGAATATCTCTGGAAGACGACGAGAGATCAGGAAGACCTTCAACGAGCTCAACCCCCGAAAATGCCCTCTTCCTGAAGATGAAGATCCGGCTCAAAGGTCGCCATTTTGACAACATTGCAGAGATCCAGTGATTTTCCCGGTTTCACGCAGAATTTCACGATTTGTTGTAACTTGCCGTCCATGATGAAATAGCAGACGTGGTCAGAACAGCACCAGTTGCACACCTCCCGATGAACACAGGACGAGGTCTTTTGGTACACTGACTTATGAAGGTCGGTGCTCCCTGTGACAGCGTGTGCAGCCTTGTACACAGGACGAGGTCTTTCGGCACACTGACTTATGAAGGTCGGTGCTCCCTGTGACTGTGCATGCAGCCTTGTACACAGGACGAGGTCTTTTGGCACACTGACATATGAAGATCGGTGCTCCCTGTGACTGTGCATGCAGCCTTGTACACAGGACAAGGTCTCTTGGCACACTGACTTATGAAGGGCGGTGCTCCCTGTGACTGTGCATGCAGCCTTGTACACAGGACGGGGGTCTTTTGGCACACTGACTTATGAAGGTCGGTGCTCCCTGTGACTGTGCATGCAGCCTTGTACACAGGACGGGGTCTTTTGGCACACTGACTTATGAAGGTCGGTGCTCCCTGTGGCTGTGTGTGCAGTCTTGTGCTGCCGTTTGTTTGCGTGTTACGAAACTGGCCTCAAAACTTTTTGGTGCCGCCTCGTACAGTTGAGGAAATCAGTGATTGGCTGAATTCACCTCATTTGCCCAATACGGTCACCCCAACCAGAATAACAGAGCCAAGCCCCATCTGCAATGTTCTCTATGGGGTCCCCTTCTCTTCCAATACTGGATCACCACACTGTCCCGGGACATACAGACAATACTCAGTAGGGTCGGTGGGCTCCTCTTTGGGTCGGATCACATTATCTACAGTGGGGGAAAAAAAAATGATCTGATCTGCAGATTTTGTACGTTCGCCCACTTTCCGAGAACTGAAGGGTCTATAGTTGTTATCATCGGTGTATTCTTAATGATAGAGACAGAATATCGACCAAAAATCCAGAAAAAAAACACGATAGAAATATTATAAATGGAGTTGCAGTTCAGTGAGTAGAATAAGTGTTTGATCCCCCACCAACCAACAATGATTCTGGCTCCCACAGACTGGCCATGTGCTCATGTGGTACACAGATCAGTCCTGTCAATGGAAGAAGGTTCTCCTAACGATAGTAAAAGACACGTGTCCATGGAATCTCTACATTCAAACCTCACCACCACCATGGGCAAGACCAAAGAGCTGTCCAAGGACATCAGGGACAAGACTGTAGACCTGCACAAGGCTGGAATGGGCTACAAGACCACCAGCAAGAAGCTTGGTGAGAAGGAGACAACTGTTGGAGCGATTATTCGCAAATGGAGGAAATACAAAATAACCTTCAATTGCCCTCGGTCTGGAGCTCCATGAGAGATTTCATCTCATGGGGTAAGGATGACCATGAGAAAAGTGAGGGATCAGCCCAGAACTACACGGAAGGAGCTTGTGAAGGATCTCCAAGCAGTTGGGACCACAATCACCAAACAAACCATTGGTAACACAATACTTCATCATGGATTGAAATCCTGCAGTGCTCGCAAGGTCCGCCTCCTCCAGAAGGCACATGTACAGGCCCAAGAAACAAGAGGAGAAGAAGAAAAAAGGCTGCACACCTAAAAGGCTAACCACAAAAGAAAGTTATTATGCACCATAAACAGTAATAGGCCATCAGAGACATGATAATCCTGCATGACAGAGGACTCTACCCCTTGAGATATCAAGAGGGAACCCTCAGGGATGGACCAAGGATGGAGTCGGTCCACTGGGACAAACCTGACCCAACCCTCCAACACCCAACACAAGGGTTGGTGGCGTGGTTTGGGTCAGGGGTTGGGTGTTGGAGGGTTGGGTCAGGTTAGTCCCAGTGGACCGAGTGGTTCCTCCACCAACTACAAGAAATGTCTCACCTCTGTGCTCGCCAACAAGGGTTCCTCCACCAACTACAAGGAACGTATTACCTCTGTGCTCACCAACAAGGGTTCCTCCACCAACTACAAGGAACGTATTACCTCTGTGCTCGCCAACAAGGGTTCCTCCACCAACTACAAGGAACGTCTCACCTCTGTGCTCGCCAACAAGGGTTCCTCCACCAACTACAAGGAACGTCTCACCTCTGCTCGCCAACAAGGGTTCCTCCACCAACTACAAGGAACGTCTCACCTCTGTGCTCGCCAACAAGGGTTCCTCCACCAACTACAATGAATGTCTCACCTCTGTGCTCACCAACAAGGATTCCTCCACCAACTACAAGGAACGTCTTACCTCTGTGCTCGCCAACAAGGGTTCCTCCACCAACTACAAGGAACGTCTTACCTCTGTGCTCGCCAACAAGGGTTCCTCCACCAACTACAAGGAACGTCTCACCTCTGTGCTCACCAACAAGGGTTCCTCCACCAACTACAAGGAACGTCTCACCTCTGCGCTCGCCAACAAGGGTTCCTCCACCAACTACAAGGAATGTCTCACCTCTGTGCTCGCCAACAAGGGTTCATCCACCAACTACAAGGAATGTCTCACCTCTGTACTCGCCCACAAGGGTTCCTCTACCAACTACAAGGAACGTCTCACCTCTGTGCTCGCCAATAAGGGTTCCTCCACCAACTACAAGAAACGTCTTACCTCTGTGCTTGCCAACAAGGGTTCCTCCACAAATTGCAGGAAACGTCTTTCCCTCAGTGCTCGGCAACAAGGGTTCCTGCACCAACTACAATGAATGTCTCACCTCTGCGCTCACCAACAAGGGTTCCTCCACCAACTACAAGGAACATCTTACCTCTGTGCTCGCCAACAAGGGTTCCCCCACCAACTACAAGGAATGTCTCACCTCTGTACTTGTCAACAAAGGTTCCTCCACCAACTACAGGAAACATCTTACCTCTGTGCTTGCCAACAAGGGTTCCTCCACGAACTACAGGAAATGTCTTACCTCTGTGCTCGCCAACGAGGGTTCCTCCACCAACTACATGGAACGTCTCACCTCTGTGCTCGCCAACAAGGGTTCCTCCACCAACTACAAGGAACGTCTTACCTCTGTGCTCGCCAACAAGGGTTCCTCCACCAACTACAAGGAACGTCTCACCTCTGCGCTCGCCAACAAGGGTTCCTCCACCAACTACAAGGAATGTCTCACCTCTGTGCTCGCCAACAAGGGTTCCTCCACCAACTACAAGGAACGTCTCACTTCTGTGCTCGCCAACAAGGGTTCTTCCACCAACTACAAAGAACGTCTCACCTCTGTGCTCACCAACAAGGGTTCTCCACCAACTACAAGGAACATCTCACTTCTGTGCTCGCCAACAAGGGTTCCTCCACCAACTACAAGGAACGTCTCACCTCTGTGCTCACCAACAAGGGTTCCTCCACCAACTACAAGGAATGTCTCACCTCTGTGCTCGCCAACAAGGGTTCCTCCACCAACTACAAAGAACGTCTCACCTCTGTGCTCCCCAACAAGGGTTCCTCCACCAACTACAAGGAACGTCTCACCTCTGTGCTCACCAACAAGGCTTCCTCCACCAACTACAAGGAACGTCTCACCTCTGTGCTCACCAACAAGGGTTCTTCCACCAACTACAAGGAACGTCTCACCTCTGTGCTCCCCAACAAGGGTTCTTCCAACAACTACAAGGAACGTCTCACCTCTGTGCTCGCCAACAAGGGTTCCTCCACCAACTACAAGAAACGTCTTACCTCTGTGCTTGCCAACAAGGGTTCCTCCACAAATTGCAGGAAACGTCTTTCCTCGGTGCTCGGCAACAAGGGTTCCTCCACCAACTACAATGAATGTCTCACCTCTGCGCTCGCCAACAAGGGTTCCTCCACCAACTACAAGGAACATCTTACCTCTGTGCTCGCCAACAAGGGTTCCCCCACCAACTACAAGGAATGTCTCACCTCTGTACTTGTCAACAAAGGTTCCTCCACGAACTACAGGAAATGTCTTACCTCTGTGCTCGCCAACGAGGGTTCCTCCACCAACTACATGGAACGTCTCACCTCTGTGCTCGCCAACAAGGGTTCCTCCACCAACTACAAGGAACGTCTTACCTCTGTGCTCGCCAACAAGGGTTCCTCCACCAACTACAAGGAACGTCTCACCTCTGCGCTCGCCAACAAGGGTTCCTCCACCAACTACAAAGAACGTCTCACCTCTGTGCTCTGCCAACAAGGGTTCCTCCACCAACTACAAGGAACGTCTCACTTCTGTGCTCGCCAACAAGGGTTCCTCCACCAACTACAAAGAACGTCTCACCTCTGTGCTCACCAACAAGGGTTCTTCCACCAACTACAAGGAACATCTCACTTCTGTGCTCGCCAACAAGGGTTCCTCCACCAACTACAAGGAACGTCTCACCTCTGTGCTCACCAACAAGGGTTCCTCCACCAACTACAAGGAATGTCTCACCTCTGTGCTCGCCAACAAGGGTTCTTCCACCAACTACAAAGAACATCTCACCTCTGTGCTCCCCAACAAGGGTTCCTCCACCAACTACAAGGAACGTCTCACCTCTGTGCTCACCAACAAGGGTTCCTCCACCAACTACAAGGAACGTCTCACCTCTGTGCTCACCAACAAGGGTTCTTCCACCAACTACAAGGAACGTCTCACCTCTGTGCTCCCCAACAAGGGTTCTTCCAACAAACTACAAGGAACGTCTCACCTCTGTGCTCACCAACAAGGGTTCTTCCACCAACTACAAGGAACGTCTCACCTCTGTGCTCACCAACAAGGGTTCCTCCACCAACTACAAGAAACGTCTCACCTCTGTGCTCACCAACAAGGGTTCCTCCACCAACTACAAGGAATGTCTCACCTCTGTGCTCGCCAACAAGGGTTCCTCCACCAACTACAAGGAATGTCTCACCTCTGTGCTCGCCAACAAGGGTTCATCCACCAACTACAAGGAATGTCTCACCTCTGTACTCGCCCACAAGGGTTCCTCTCACCAACTACAAGGAACGTCTCACCTCTGTGCTCGCCAACAAGGGTTCCTTCACCAACTACAAGGAACGTCTTACCTCTGTGCTCGCCAACAAGGGTTCCTCCACCAACTACAAGGAACGTCTTACCTCTGTGCTCGCCAACAAGGGTTCCTCCAACTACAAGGAACGTCTCACCTCTGTGCTCACCAACAAGGGTTCTTCCACCAACTACAAGAACGTCTCACTTCTGTGCTCGCCAACAAGGGTTCCTCCACCAACTACAAGGAACGTCTCACCTCTGTGCTCACCAACAAGGGTTCCTCCACAAACTACAAGGAATGTCTCACCTCTGTGCTCGCCAACAGGGGTTCTTCCACCAACTACAAAGAACGTCTCACCTCTGTGCTCCCCAACAAGGGTTCCTCCACCAACTACAAGGAACGTCTCACCTCTGTGCTCACCAACAAGGGTTCCTCCACCAACTACAAGGAACGTCTCACCTCTGTGCTCACCAACAAGGGTTCTTCCACCAACTACAAGGAACGTCTCACCTCTGTGCTCCCCAACAAGGGTTCTTCCAACAACTACAAGGAACGTCTCACCTCTGTGCTCACCAACAAGGGTTCTTCCACCAACTACAAGGAACGTCTCACCTCTGTGCTCACCAACAAGGGTTCCTCCACCAACTACAAGGAACGTCTCACCTCTGTGCTCGCCAACAAGGGTTCCTCCACCAACTACAAGGAACGTCTTACCTCTGTGCTCGCCAACAAGGGTTCCTCCACCAACTACAAGGAACGTCTTACCTCTGTGCTCGCCAACAAGGGTTCCTCCAACTACAAGGAACGTCTCACCTCTGTGCTCACCAACAAGGGTTACTCCACCAACTACAAGGAACGTCTCACCTCTGTACTCGCCAACAAGGGTTCCTCCACCAACTACAAGGAACGTCTCACCTCTGTGCTCACCAACAAGGGTTCCTCCACCAACTACAAGGAACGTCTCACCTCTGTGCTCACCAACAAGGGTTACTCCACCAACTACAAGGAACGTCTCACCTCTGTACTCGCCACAAGGGTTCCTCCACCAACTACAAGGAACGTCTCACCTCTGTGCTCACCAACAAGGGTTCCTCCACCAACTACAAGGAACGTCTCACCTCTGTGCTCACCAACAAGGGTTACTCCACCAACTACAAGGAACGTCTCACCTCTGTGCTCACCAACAAGGGTTCCTCCACCAACTACAAGGAACGTCTCACCTCTGTGCTCACCAACAAGGGTTCCTCCACCAACTACAAGGAACGTCTCACCTCTGTGCTCACCAACAAGGGTTCCTCCACCAAATACCAAGTCATGTTTTGCTTGGGGATCAAATACTTATTTTACTCCAAACTGCAACTCCATTTATAACATTTCTATCGTTTTTCTTCTGGATTTTTGGTTGATATTCTGTCTCTATCATTTAAAATACACCTATGATAAATATTATAGACCCTTCATTTCTGTAAGTGGCCGAATGTATAAAATCTGCAGGAGATCGAATCATGATTTTCCCCACTGTATTTGTCTGTCCATTAGTTGCCCCCAACAGGCTGGACAGTACCAGACCCCTGTAATGGATTGTTCTAGAATCTTTTTCCTGTATTGTATATAATGGAGGACAACCCATCACAATGTATCACAGAAGGTCTCTGTCTCCATCCGCAGGGATCACAGTGAATGGCTCATCGATGTTCTTCTCCCACAAGGTACGTTTCATGTTGTTTCTGGATTTTCTGTGTTCTGCAGTCAACATATAAAGTAGGTGGGGGATTTTTTTTTTTTTTTTTGAGGAAATGGACTTTGAATTTTCTGTAAAGTGTTTCCTATATACCCGAGTGTCTGTACTAAGCCACCAATCGGATCCTGACATTCGGGTCTCAGATGCCACCTTCTAGGGAAGGTTTTGATTGGTCGGTGTGATTATACAAGAGACCCACTGTGGGATTTAGCCCGGGTTCACACTAATGCGGTGCAGGACGCCCGCATGTAATTCGCACAGGAATCGCGCCACATTGCAATGTCTGTGCGGTGCAATTTGAGCCATTTTTTTACCTGCATGTGAATCGCATCGCATGGGTGTTCTCACCCATCCAATGAGATTTCTGGCAGTCGCATTGCGTTTTGTGATCTGTTTCAGGGTGTCATTAATTTAACATGGACACCCGCATCAGATCGCATGAACGCCATGCGATTGTAGTGCGGTGTGGGAAATTCACAGCATTTCACACACGGCATTAGTGTGAACCCGTGCTTAAAGTTCAACGCCACTGAGCGCCCCTTCCTCTATCAGAAGCCATCAGGACTATTTTATGTTTTTTTTTTTAATACTTCCCTATGATATTTGAGACTGAAGTGCCACACCATTGGTTGATGGTCCAAATACCCGCTCTCTCCCGGACCCCACATTCACTATATCCGCTCTCCCCGGACCCCGCATTCACTATACCCGCTCTCCCCGGACCCCGCATTCACTATATCCGCTCTCCCCGGACCCCGCATTCACTATATCCGCTCTCCCCGGACCCCGCATTCACTATATCTGCTCTCCTCGGACCCCGCATTCACTATATCTGCTCTCCCCGGACCCCGCATTCACTATATCCGCTCTCTCCGGACCCCGCATTCACTATATCCGCTCTCCCCGGACCCCGCATTCACTATATCTGCTCTCCCCTGACCCCGCATTCACTATATCCGCTCTCCCCGGACCCCGCATTCACTATATCCGCTCTCCCCGGACCCCGCATTCACTATATCCGCTCTCCTCGGACCCCGCATTCACTATATCCGCTCTCCCCGGACCCCGCATTCACTATATCCGCTCTCCCCGGACCCCCATTCACTATATCTGCTCTCCCCGGACCCCACATTCACTATATCTGCTCTCCCCCGGACCCCACATTCACTATATCCGCTCTCCCCGGACCCCCATTCACTATATCTGCTCTCCCCGGACCCCGCGTTCCCTATATCTGCTCTCCCCGGACCCCGCGTTCCCTATATCCGCTCTCCCCGGACCCCGCATTCACTATATCCGCATTGTCTATATCCGCAAAGTCTACCGCCAGGGTAGACATTTCCTGGCTACTAAATATTCCACGCTCAACTGTTAGTGGGATTATAACAAAGTGGAAGCCACTGGGAACAACAGCCACTCAGCCACCAAGTGGTAGGCCACGTCACATGACAGGGCGGGGTCAGCGCATGCTGAAGCGCACAGTGCGCAGAAGTCACCAACTGTCTGCAGAGTCAATAGCTAAAGACCTCCAAACTTGGTGTGGCCTTCAGATGAGCCCAACAACAGTGCGTAGAGAGCTTCATGGAATGGGTTTCCATGGCCAAGCAGCTGCATCCAAGCCTTCCTCACCAAGTGCAATGCAAAGCGTTGGATGCCGTGGTGTAAAGCACACCGCCACTGGACTCTAGAGCAGTGGAGGTGTGTTCTCTGGAGTGACCAATCACTATTACATACCTGGTGATGGAGGCCAATGGAGAGAGGGCTTCCCTTGCGGCTAAGTTCCGGACTCCCCTGAGAGTGGGACAGCGGGAGTCAGGCCCAAAGTTGCACAGGTCGCCTGTAGGAGTGCTGGTTGGTGGTCCACTCAGAAGCACAGCTGGTGCACGGAGATAGGTCTGCAGACAGGAGGCGCCTGTGCGTGGTATGCAAGCCTTCCGGGATTTGGAAGTTTGTGGGTTAGTCAGTTCGAGCCAAGGTCAGGTACCGGGTGGGAAACAGAACAGACGTGGTCAGGTGGGATAGCCGAGGTCATACACAGGGGAGCGAGAGAGTATCCTTTAGCCAAGCCGAGGTCGGATCAGGGGGTCAGTAGAGCAGACAGGTCCAAGTGCAAGCCGGGTCAGAATCAGGAAGTCACAAGCCACAGGAACAAACCACGGGGAGCTAGAGATCATCCAGTAACCAGAGGAAGTGATGAGCCTCCTTATAAAGGCCGTCTGGCACCAGACTGAGGCTGATGTGTCCTTCTGCGGCCATGTAGAGTACTTCTGCTGTGGACAGGACCCTGACAATCACGCTTCTCTGTCTGGCAATCTGATGGATGTGTCTGGGTTTGGTGGTGGCCAGGAGAACAGTACTTGCCTGACTGCATTGTGCCAAGTGTAAAGTTTGGTGGAGGGGGGATTATGGTGTGGGGTTGATTTTCATGGGTTGGGCTTGGCCCCCTAGTTCCAGTGAAGGGAACTCTAAAGGCGACATTTTGGACAATTTCATGCCCCCAACTTTGTGGGAGGAGTTTGGGGATGGCCCCTTCCTGTTCCAACATGACTGCGCACCAGTGCACAAAGCAAGGTCCATAAAGACATGGAGGAGCCAGTTTAGGGTGGAGGAACTTGACTGTCCTGCACAGAGTCCTGACCTCAACCCCATAGAACACCTTTGGGATGAATTAGAGCGGAGACTGCGAGCCAGGCCCCCTCCCCCGACATCAGTGCCTGACCTGACAAATGTGCTTCTGGAAGAATGGTCCAACCTTCCCATAGACACCCTCCTAAACCTTGTGGGCGGCCTTCCCAGAAGAGTTGAAGCTGTTATCAATATTGAACCCTACAGACTAAGACTGGGGGGCCATTAAAGGTCATGTGTGTGGGAAGGGCGGGGCCAACTCAATATTGAACCCTACGGACTAAGACTGGGGGGCCATTAAAGGTCATGTGCGTGGAAAGGGCGGGGCCAACTCAATATTGAACCCTACAGACTAAGACTGGGGGGGCCATTAAGGGTCATGTGCGTGGAAAGGGTGGGGCCAACTCAATATTGAACCCTACGGACTAAGACTGGGGAGCCATTAAAGGTCATTTGTGTGGGAAGGCCGGCGGCCCAATACTTGGGGCAATATAGTGTATATATGCAGCATCATGGAAGTGGGCCTTCCATGTCTGTGACTCAAAGGGCGGGGCCAACTCAATATTGAACCCTACGGACTGAGACTGGGAGGACATTAAAGGTCATGTGCGTGGAAAGGGCGGGGCCAACTCAATATTGAACCCTACGGACTAAGACTGGGGAGCCATTAAAGGTCATGTGTGTGGGAAGGCCGGCGGCCCAATACTTGGGGCAATATAGTGTATATATGCAGCATCATGGAAGTGGGCCTTCCATGTCTGTGACTCAAAGGGCGGGGCCAACTCAATATTGAACCCTATGGACTAAGACTGGGAGGCCATTAAAGGTCATGTGCGTGGAAAGCCTGGCGGCCCAGTCCTTGGGGCAATATGGTGTATATCTGGGCCATCAACCCAAGGTGCGACACTTCAATCTCAAAGCCATTTCATGGAAAGCCGAGTTGCCGTTTCTAAGTGTACATGTACTGTTGACTATGACCGCATGGCCTAGCGTTGCTCATTGAGTTTTATGTATATCTCATACAGCTGAAATTTCAGCCATTTGTCAGAAAAAGGTAAGATCGGTATGGCGCAGTCATCACACAATCATCCATTGCCACTGTGACGTGTCTGCTTGTGGCCTCTTCATCATCTTTGTGCCTCATCGAGTCGTACAATCGCTGCATCCCGTGTGATCTGTGTGCTATCAGTCCAATGCACGTCTATTCTGTGCCGTTCTCCTTGTATTGTGACTGTATCCATTGTGTCCTCAGTATCCACCACATTGCTGATCCCGGGGCGCACGTAACGGATACTCTGTACACCAGGAGCTGGAGCTGGAATCCTTTATAACTAGGGGGGGGGGGGGGCTTGGGAATCTGAAAACTATTTTACTGGTTCCACTGGGGTAGGAAGGGTTGAGAAGGGTAATCGGGCCGCTTTTCTCATCCCTCATGTCTGCTAATCCTTGTTTGGCATAAATTTGATTTCTCCAGGAAGGCAACTTGACGTTTTTTGGGTAAGTTACTCCTAGATGCCAACTTTTCCAGATGTGCCCAGACAGTCCCGTATTGCGGGTATATACTGTATGTGGGCAGGGCCGGTGCTACCACTAGGCAGCAGTCTGGGGTGCAATGCCGCCTGGGGGTGCAGCCACGGCTGCTGGTTTCCCTGCTCTACGCCATGGGCCGGATCTAGGGGGGAGCTGGGATGGGCTTTGGGGGGATTTCGGTAAAAAGGAAAGATTTGTGATGGGAAGGGTAATTTGGAGGGGGTTTAGCAAGAGGAGGGACTTGGGGGAATTCATCCTATTTGGGGGGGATTAAAGGATGAGGAGTGATTTTGGGAGGGAGATGGGGGGGATTTTGCTAGGAGAGGGGATTGGGGGGATTTGTGTTAGGAGGTGGGATTTGTGCTAGGAGGGGGGATTGAAAGAAGAGGAGTGATTCTAGGTGGGGGGATGTGCTAGGAGGGGGATGGAGGGAGGGGGGATTTGTGCTAGGATAGGGGATTAGGGAGATTTGTGTTAGGAGAGAGGATTGGGGGCGGGGGGTTGTGTTAGAAGGAGGAGATTTGTGATTTGTGCTAGGAGGGGGGCTGGGGGAATTTGTGGTAGGAGAGGGCATTGGGGAGGGGGAAGGTTGCTAGGAGAGGTGATTGGGAGGGGGATTGGGGGGAGGATTGTGTTAGGAGGAGGGATTGGGTGCAGATGTGCTGGGGGGGGATTGTGCTAGGATAGGAGTGGGAAGGAAGGATTTGTGATGGTAATGGTTATATTGGAGGGGGTTTAGCTAGAGGAGGGACTTTGGAGAATTTGTTCTAGGTGGGGGGGGGGATTAAAGAAGGAGGAGTGATTCTGGGAGGGGGGTAGTGCTAGGATGGGGATGGAGGGGGGAGTTTGTGCTAGAAGAGGGGATTGGGGGGATTTGTGTTAGGAAGGAGGATTGGGGGGGAGGGATTTGTGTTAGGGGGGATTTATGCTAGGTGGGGGGAATTAAAGGAAGAGGAGTTATTCTGGAAGGGGAAATGTGCTAGGAGGGGGATGGGGGGGGGGGTTGTGCTAGGAGAGGGGATTGGGGGATTTGTGTTAGGAAAGAGGCTTGGGGGGGGATTTGTGCTAGGAGAGGGGATGGGGGGGGTACTAGGAGGGGGATTGGGGGGATTTGTGTTAGAAAAGAGGATTAGGGGGGGGGGATTTCTGCTCAGAGGGGAGACTGGGAGAATTTGTGCTAGGAGAAGGGATGGGGGGTACTAGGAGAGGGGATTGCGAGGAAATTTGTGGTAGGAGAAGGGAATTGGGGGGGGGGGATTGTGTTAGGAGGCGGGATTGGGTGTGAATGCTTTAGGGGGGGGATTTGTTCTAGGAGATTTGGGTGGGGAGGAAGGTTTCGTGCTGGGGAGGGTAATTTGGAGGGGGTTATACTAGGAGGTGGGATTGGGGGGATTTATGCTAGGAGGGGGGATGGGGGGGTACTAGGAGGGGGATTGGGGGGATTTATGCTAGGAGGGGGGATGGGGGGGTACTAAGAGGGGAATTGGGGGGATTTGTGTTAGGAGAGAGGATTGGGGGGGGGGGGATTTGTGCTAAGAGGGGAGACTGGGAGGATTTGTGCTAGGAGAAGGGATGGGGGGGGGGGTACTAGGAGAGGGGGATTGCGAGGAAATTTGTGGTAGGAGAGGGGAATTGGGGGGGGGGATTGTGTTAGGAGGCGGGATTGGGTGTGAGTGCGCTGGGGGGGGATTTGTTCTAGGACAGGAGATTTGGGTGGGGAGGAAGGTTTTGTGCTGGGGAGGGTAATTTGGAGGAGGTTGTACTAGGAGGTAGGATTGGGGGGATTTATGCTAGGAGGGGGGGATTCGGGAGAGAAGATTTGTGCTGGGGGGTGAAGTTTTTATTTTATTTTATTTTTTTGTTGGGGGGGGGGGGGGGTGACAGTAGCTGATCTTGCCTAAGTCACAAATTAGTCTTAGTTCCGGCCCTGTATGTGGGGGTGGGATGTCACAACCAATCAGATCCTTGGAGGTGTCACCCCTTCATAATGGGTATGTATTCACCAATTCCATAAAATGGGACCTTATATATACCTCCAATGGTACAATACAAACTGTAAACCAAAAAACAGATTTGATATGTAACACCCCCGCCACCCCTTGTCATTGAGGTCGTTACATGTTTAGAGGTGGAATCTGGGTGGGACCAACACGCAAAGTGGGTGTGGTTTTGCTGAGCCTACCCAGGAAATGGGTAGATGAAATGCAAACCATGGGCGGGGTTTAGACCTGGGGGTCCGGGACCTTAACGTCGGTAAGTATGATGACCCAAAAGCTATCCATCCAGTTTTTCTTTTTTTTCACTCTTTATCCAGGTTTTCTATTTCTCGGGCCTCTCGGCTCCCGTTTTTGAACCCGCTGGCCTCACCCTAATAGGACTTTGACTTCTATATATCCTAATTTTTTTTTCCATTTGCCTTTTCTTCTACTTTCCAGAACTGCAGCTCTCACGTAAGGAGGGCGGTGGTGACATGCTTTTCTGCTGGCTGCTGCGGTCGTCACGGTAACCGACCGGTGCGTTACTGCAAACGCTGCCACTCCTACCACCATAACCAAGAGGCGGGAGGAGCTTCGTCATCGGAGACGCACCTATTCCAGACGTCACCGCCTCCTATCAACACCAGAGAGTGCGGCGCGGAGGAGCTGGTGTGCGCGGTAGAAGCTGTGATAAGGTATTACAGATCGCGCACCGGGCAAAAAATATTAGGCTACCCAGATACCCGTGCGATCCGATTCTAGCGGGGACCAAAAAAGGGGTCCTGCACCTTTTTGGTGCGATTTGAGCCGTACAAAATGTATGACTCAAATCGCTCTGCACAGAATTCGCATGGGATTTGCACAGGAATGCGGCGCGGTCCCCGTGCGAATCACATGCGGTATGCCGCACCGAATATATGTAAACCCAGGCTTATGCAGGCCATAGACGGGTCGAAGACCGGCCATTTAAAAAAAAAAGAAAAAAAAAAAAAATCGGTCGTTCGATTGGCCAACGTTACCACCAACAGTGAAAAAATCGGCCGATTTTTGTCCCGTCTACGGCTGGCATTTAACCCCATAATTACTTCTGTCCCTGCAGAGAGCTCCGCTATTATATTTTACATGAAAGTCTTGCGGTTGCAACAATGTATCCATTTGTATCCATTTCGGATACAGATGTTTTTATTCAGATGCAAATAGATACATTGTTGCAACCGCAAGACTTTCATGTCAAATATAATAGCGGACTGGAATTCTTCTCCTTCTCCTCCTTCTTCTTCTCCTTCTCCTTCTTCTTCTCCTTCTCCTTCTCCTTCTCTTTCTTTTTCTTCTTCTTCTTGCAGGTCACGGCTCATGCGCAGATTTTTTTATCGGTAAAACGATCGGCCGATTTGCCCATCATTGCCGGGAAAATCAGCCGATCGTCAAAATTGGGCGCGAAATTTCGAACATGACCGATAACAAAAATGTGCCAAAACCCTGAAAAAAAAAAAAACGCCGCCGACCAACTAACCCACTAACAGTGCGAAAATCGGCCGATTTTCGACCCATCTATGGCCCCCATTAGGCTTGGTTCACACTGCCGCGACTTGGGATCTGACTTGTGACACCTCAAGTCGCATTATATGTGAAATCCCGTGTTAGTCAATGAGATACGTCTTAATTAGTACGACCGAAGTCACTCCGACTGTAGAAAAGGTTCCTGTGCTACTTCAAGGCGACTTCTATCCGAATTGTGCCCATAGACTTTAATGGA